TATATATATATATATATATATATATATATATATAGCTTTTTCAGCTTTTTAAATTTTTGTAATTTTTGTATTGAGGCTTAAACTTAATTTATTTCAGTGCAAGGATCTAAAGTCCTGCAATGTTATTTTAGTATTGTTTGTATGCTATTATAATATTTTGAGCTTTTTAAATATATATATATTTTCCATTTTAATTTTACTTTAAATTCATAATTTTATGTGCTTTTGTCATTTTTGTTAGTTTGTTTTTAATATTTATTTAGCTTTTTTTATTTGAGTTTGCTGTAGTATTCAGTATTATTTATGTACTATTATAATATTTTGATCTTTTATTTTTTTATATTTTCCATTTTAATTTAAGTAATTATATGTGCTTTTGTCATTTTTGTTAGGTTTTTAAAAAATATATTTATTTAGCCTTATTTTTAAACTTATCAAGTCAGTTGTGTGCAAAGGCTGCATTTCTAATTTTCATAGTAAGTTTTTCATCAGATATTTATGTGCTTATTTCAGCTTTAATTCAATTAATGAAAACTGTTTAATAGTATGTTACCAGCAGCACTAATAGCAATGCCGTTTCTCTTTCCCTAGTTTCATGTTCGATGAGCCGTCCAGTTATCTCGATGTGAAACAGAGGCTGAGAGAACACTAGCTTTTCTAATCTTTTTGTATTCTATCCGTTTTCTTTTCATTTATTATACAATTAACAAAAGCAAAATAAGACCTCTAACGCTAGCTTGCTCTATTTTTCTATTCTATCCGTTTTATTTTTATTTTTTTTATTATATTATTTAAAAAACCCTTGCTACGTGTACTGCGTTAAGCTAACTGAGACTTGTTATAGCACTTGCATATCATTGCTCTTTTGTTGATTTTGATTGATTCCATTGTCCTCATTTGTAAGTCGCTTTGGATAAAAGCATCTGCTAAATGTATATATATATATATATATAAAATTTGTAGAAATAATTACTGAAGTTTTTAGAATTTAAGAAAAGTTGGTATTTAAAAAAATATATTACTTGTTTTTTTTCACGTTTCCATTC